AAAGCTAAAGTATGTAAATTTAGCATATGTAAGCCAGTGACATTTCTATTCATTGAAAACTCTCTGAAAAATTAATCAAGAAAGTTATGCACAAGAGCTACAGAATTTTCAAATAATAATAAAATTAAGGTCAAAACAGTGTCTTCGAGACATGAACTCACAGCATCTTTGGTTTCCTGCACAAGATCAAACCAGTCAACAATCCAGCATGGATGGGAGAAAAGCCTACGAGGCCCCAGTCCTAGCTGAGGAACTGTTGACTATTGAAAGATAATGGGAGAGTAGAAGTCAGTTGTTCAAAACATTACAAGAAATTGAAGAGGGCAAAATACTTTCAAGAGTTTTATGAGAGTGACCATGCTCTAGTACATAGCTCCAAACACATGGACATCACTAATTGGATTCAGTAGGTATTTCAAAAAATAAAAGGAAGATTGAAAAGATAGCTCAGAAGTGAAGGGCCCTTGTTGCCCTTCTTGAGGACCCAGTTTTGAGCTGCCGAATCCACATAATGGCTCACAATTATCTGTAACTCTAGTTCCAGGAGACCTGACAGCCTCTGTTACCTCCAAAGGCTTACTTGCACACAGTGCATAGACTTACATACAGGTAAATAGTGTTGGGGAAGCTGGACTCTAAGCTCATACTTTATGAATAATGAACACAAAATTGATTAAAGATTTAATATAAACCCTATAATTACAAAACTACTAGAAGAAAACAAAGGAAAACTTGATGACAAAGGATCTGTTGACATTGTGATCTTGAGAGATGCTAAGTTGATGCTAAATACTCACACACCCAAAGTGGTGACTATGTTTGTTAAGATAAATGTTAATTACCTAGCTAGAGTCACACAATGCATAATATAAGTGCACTTAAGAGCATCGTGCTGAACACGAAAGTGCACATAATTTTATCTGTTAAAAGTAGTTTCAGTTTTGTGAACAATGCATCAAGAAAGATAACACACAAAAATGATCACCATGTTTCAGTATGGTTTTCATATTTGCATTTGAGTTTCGTATATGAAAGGTGACTGGTCTCATATGGCAGCTGCCCTCATGGCTTAAAGTATGCTTGCTACTGTGTAAAAGGTCACGTGTCACTTAGGATTGTGGTTAGCATAGCTGGGAGAAGAAAATGCACTAATGGACTTTATCTACAGTTCGTTCTTGCCAGAGCCGGTTTGGCCTTGACCTCTTCTCACTGGAGGGCACTCTAATTTACCATGACTGATGTGTACTTTGTTAGCCGACGAGCACAGAAGTCTAAACAAGTAAGACAGCCAAACTGAACACATGGAAACTCCCAAGTGCCCCCAGCCTCTCTTTGTAGAGATGATGGATTGAGGCAGCGTGGTCCAGCAGAAGTACAGATAGAGGGGCCAAGGCGCTGCCAAGCCCAGAGCTGTAAATCTTCCATTATGAGCAAAAAGGCATCAACTGTGGGCTGCAAGCTTGGCAGAAACAGAGCCATCCTTTTCCTTCACAGCCCTGCATCCTCCTGCAGACTCATCACCCCTACAAAGACAAAAGACCCAGTGAGCAGAGAAGTAGTGAAATGCATGTGTGGTCAGCAAAACGATGGTCATCAAGCCCATTCACTGTGTGAGGACCTGGATTGTCCATGAGTCACATGATACCCATCAAAGTTTTACAAAAAGTCAGGTATATGCCACTCCATTTTTATTACAAAATGGCCCCTTGACCCCTTCTTATCTCCAACTTTCTTCTTTTAGTACTTATGTACTTAATATATTCCAGGCATTGCCAGTATCTGGATATAAATATTCAATTCACATTTTCTCCTTTTAATGATTTTTACTGAGCATACAAAATAATGGGCTTCATTATAAATATGTAGGTTAAAATATACCTTTGATGCATTTTTTCTCTTTTATGTTCCATACCTCTTTGTGATTTGAATGTTGGCAGCAATATTATTTTTGTATCTGCTTCACATTCTTAAGTTTTATCAATTCCTTTTATTTAGTGTGTGTGTGTGTGTGTGTGTGTGTGTGTGTGTGTGTGTGTGTGTAGGCACATACACATGCCACAATACATGCATGAAAAGAAAAATTCAGAAGCCAATTGTGAGAATTCATTCTTTCCTTCCATCATGTAGGTCCCAGGGACTGAACTCAGGGACTGAACTCAGGTCATCAGGCTTGAGGAATGCAACTAGTGGTAATTGTTTTAAGCAAAATAGGCCAGATTCAGAAGACAGAATGCATGCTTTACTCTCATTTGCACAAATACATATATTTCATTTACATATTAATGAGAAACAGGTTGTAGACATAAGAATTGGCAGAGTCTCTTAGCTAGGAGTTACATTTTGCACTAAGGATGAAGATTGGTTGGCTCAAACCTGGATTTTCTAGAGGAGGGAAATCCCTTCTTTCATCTTGAATCTGCCTCTCTTGTGACTTAGTTAAGTGCTTTGTTGTAACAGTGTAATTATAGTAATAACAACTACAGTGGAGAGCTGTCTGACTGTTATCAAACAAGAATAACAGCTTTACTTACTTCTTTGGTGCATATAAAGGTACAAACAGTGTTCTAAACTATATAAGTGTATACTCATATATACATATACAGTGTCCATGCATTTATGTAATTATAGTAATGATGACTACAGTGGAGAGCTGTCTGACTGTTATCAAACAAGAATAACAGCTTTACTTACTTCTATGGTGCATAAAAAGTTCAAACAGTGTTCTAAACTATTTATATACGCGTATACTCATATATACATATACAGTGTCTATCTATGCATTTATGTAATTGTAGTAGTGATGACTACAGCAGAGATGCTATCTAACTGTTACCAAACAATAACAACTCTACTTCTATGATGCATATAAATATTCAGTGTTCTAAACAATTTATTTATATATACACACACCTATACCCATGTATACATTTGCAGTATATATGTATACATGAATAAGTACACACAGATAATTAAGTTAATAAATCTGCTATCTTGATTATACAAATAAAAGAAAAATCAAAGGTTGAATAGTATGCTCAAGGTTATAAGGGTCAGCTTTGTAACTAAGAAAAACTGGCTTCCGAGTTCCATCTCTCAACCACAACACTTGTGAAGAGTAGCAAACATCAATTTATAGCTAGTACTGAAAACACCAATAGGCAAAGAGGGTAAGTATAGGATTTTAACTACTAAAAGACTCTTGTAATGTTACAGTATGAAATTTCTGGGGGAAGTGAAAATAGAATCATGTACCACATTCTAGTACTACTCCAGACACACCTGTCTGTAGGTGGCCAAGTCTCTGAGATGTGACCTCATCACTAAACAGAATGAACAAACACATGAATTATCTTGGTTTTCAATTTTTAGATTTTAATTTCTATTACTCAAGTATACTCTTTGAAGTTATTTTTATGCAGATACTCTATAATGACAAGGACATTAAGCATGGGTGCTGTGGAGAGAGATTGCTCAGGGATTTAGGATACTTGCTCTTGCAGAGTACCTGGATTTGATTACCAGAACTTACCCCCATCCCAACCATCCCAAACTCCAGTTCCAGGGAATCTGATGGCCTCTTCTGAGCTCCACAGGCACCAGGAAAGCATTTGGTACACATACATATGCAGGTGAAACATTCATACACATAAATACATAAAAAATACGTAAAACATGGGGATTCTTAAAACACTGATAAAAATTTCACAGACTTGCAGGTTATATGAGGCAAAGACAAGCACCTTTAAAGCATGATCATCTGGAGATCAATTGGAAACAGAATTATAGAAGTCACAACTCTGTATAGTATAATGGTTAGTACAGTGTTTGGGCCTAGTTGACCTGGACTTGGTGCCCCCGTGTGCCACTTGTATGCCTTAGAGAACCCCCATGGCTCTCCAGGAAGGAGAGTGTGTATATCCCTAGGCACGGGATCTCCTGAGCATGTAAACACGCTGAAGTGCCATGTGCCTAGTACTAAACTGATGGCAGCAATTGTTAACTTTTACTCTTTGTCGATAACTTCCATCTTCAGTTGTATCAGTGTCAGCGTTTATTAAATTTTGACCATGCTTATTCCTTATTTTAAATGTCAATCTACTGTGCTTGGTGCTAGCAGGATAATTTTTAAATATCAATGTAGACACCGATATCAAAGAGCTCACAGTCTTTGTGTCCTAGTTAGGATTTCTATTGCTGTGAAGAGACAGCATGACCATGCCAACTCTTATTAAAGGAAACATTTAATTGAGGTAGCTTACAATTCAGAGGTTTAGTCCATTATCATCATGGCCCAGTGAGACATAGCGGCATACAGGCAGACACAGTGCTGGAGAAGGAACTGAGAGTCCTGTACCTTGATCTGCAAATAACAGGAATTGAACTGAGACACTGGGCATAGCATGAACATAGCCCGCCCCCACGGTGACACACTTCCTCCAACAAGGCCATACTTGCTCCAACAAGCCACACCTCCTAATAGTGCCACTCCCTGTGAGCTTATAGGGGGCAATGATACTCAAACTACCTAGTAATCCATGTAGGGGTATAATGATATAAAGGGTATCAGTTCAAGAAGTAAGAGAGGCATGTAGTAGTTAAGTAACAATCAAGCTACTTTTGTATAGGAGACACCCACCTAAGACAAAGATGATCAAATAAGTATTTATAATGCAAATAATAATGTATCGTGAGATGTAAACGTATGCTTTCTTGGACCATTAGCTACCTGATTATTCTTCATTGTTGCAACTTCCAAAGTAAGTAAAGAAAAATTTAATTTTGCCACAAGCTTTATCATAAACTCTGCTACACACTATTATTTTGATTTAAATTTATATGGCCTTGCAGTTTAATATTTCCCCTGGGTTGTTTCTTTAATAATGAAAACTGGTTTCTCCAACTCTTTTGAGGAATTAAATACAAGACACTGTCTAGCACACCATCTCCCCAACTGACAAGCAATTTTCCTGCTTGACATTTCTTTAACATTCCTTCCCCAGATTTTCATTGGTGAAATATCCATGTATTTCATAAAGTCAACAAGGGAATCCCTGATTGCTGAGGAGAAAACAATCCTAACAGGGGAATGCTGTTATCTGAATCCCTTACTTCGAAGGATCATCAGATTCATAGGTAAGTACCACAGCCTGGTGAATCAAACTTTGATGGATCGGTAAGGCATACTAAACTTGGATATGTTTGATGAAATAAGCTAAGATACAGTAGTACCAGCATTAAAAGCAAGGGTTGATTGGGTATTTTTCAAAAATGGTGGAGATAAGCCTAATCCTGTTGCCATGTCAAATATTTAATTCTTGAAGTAAGATATTGTTTATTAAATTGTTGTACAGAGTCAAATATTTGATCCTTGAAATCAGGTGGTATTTATTAAATTGTTGAACAGAAATGATTTCAACTAATTGCTCTCTGTTCAACATTTATCTTGATGTCATCCCTGAACATAAGTTTTAACATTGATTAGGTGTTGACATATATTAAAGGGTAAAGGTTGGGGGACAAACGGGAATATCAATGAAATGAAATAGTCAAATTTCCTGGTAGAGTTTTCTGGCCTATAGATCTGTCAGGTTCTTGAAAAATAAATTCCTTTCCAAACTTGCAAAAGAAATGTTTACTTTAGTGTTCTTGATGAGGAATAATGAAGGTATGTTCTATGCCCTTCTTTAAAATGCCGACAGTGCTATAGATAATGATTATAACATGGGAATGTATGTATTGATGCAGATAGCAACATAAATCTTCAGAATTCCTACGTTACTAGTACTCAATAAAAGAGCATTATGTAGGTAGTGTAACAAGACCTTGCAAATGTCTGCTGACAAGATCTTCCTAGGAGCCCCAACAGATTTTCCAGTTATGAACATGACTGTTACTAAAACAAGCTATGGTATATGTTTAGAGAACAGAGAACCAGATATGTAATTTCTCATTCCTTTTGATAAATAATTAATACCATTTTTCCTCTTATAGTAAAGAGTTCAAGTTCTGAAGAAATGATCTTATCAAAGTCTGACAAGCCGTAGTATCTCTGACTGTTGGGAATGAAAAAAATGTGCTAGAGCAGGAAGCCTAAGAGAAATTTATGGAAATGTAGCAAATTAAAAATTAACATTTAAATACTCTTAGGAATTTATGAATATCTGCAAAACTAAACATTTTGTAGACTACAGAAGACTACAGTTGACTCACATTGGTATAGCCTGATCCACATGATGTTACTACTGTCCAATTTGCCTGTTCTGAACCATGGTTCTTTCAAACTTGTCTAGAGTTAGTCCAGTTCCCACCAGAGTGACTGGCTACCAAATCATGGGAAAATAGGAGATAAGAGAATGTTTATCACACTGAACACTGAACTAGATAGTTTATTAAGTTGCTTCATTTAATCTGTCCAACATTACATAAAGTGTTTTATTGTTTGAAGTATACAGATGAAAACTCTAGTAGAACACAGAATCAAGATATAATTTGCCTGGTCCTTTCATCTGATCTCCCTCCCGTGAATGTAATTAACAAGTTACTCAATGAAGAACATTATCACGTTCATGTTCCAATTAACTGTAAACATCTTTTAAAGTCACTACTACTGTTCCTTTGCCGAGAGAAGCCACATCTATCTGTGCCTCACCCTACCTGGGTCAGGGTCCAAAGAACAGAAAATGTAACTGGTGTTTGTCCCTTATGTAGGACTCTGTGGCTTACATAAATGCTTATGTAGACATGCCAGAAGATGCCTAACTCCCAGGATAAATCCCCCACATAGTATTGCTGTGGCCCACAGAATTTCCACTTAAAACACAACACTGGGCTTAGGCACGGTCTCAAGATCAGTGGAGGATCATCAGGGTCTCACTAATAAATGATGACACATTTGTCCATTTAGATCTTGTATGCAAGAGGGAAAGAGTAAAGAAAATACCGATATGACCACTCCATGGTATGGTTAAGGGGGAGGGGTTTTGTTGTAGATATGAGAAAGGGAACAACTGGAGGCATCTGGGAGACTCCAGAGCAGAGAGAGAGATAAGTAGATTGAACGCGGCCAGCAAGTTGGACCCAGCCAAGGTCATCTGTGAGAAAGGGGAGAGTAGCAGGTGACAGAATAAAGAAAGCATGGTGGGAATAGGGGGTTATAAGGAGGGTGAGGAGTTGTGGGAGGAAAGGATGAGGGGACTGGAATGGGGTTTTTGAAATGTATCGCAAGTATTTGTGGTACTGAGGGAGCTTGGAGGCCAGCATATCCTTTGATATGGAGACCCATGTGTCCCCTCTGCCAAAGGTAAGGGAAATGACTCCTTTTGGTAGATGTGAACTGGATTCACAAGTTCCTAATAAATGCTGACTTTTATCTAACTACAAGAAATCCTCCTAAAATGAATGCTGAGCTCATTTCTGGATATTTGGACTGCCTTTTAGAGTTTGGGGAATTGGAGTTTCCTTTAGACCTGACAGGTTTATCGTAAGCTAACAGATACCTGGATGCTAAAAGCATAAAACAGAGAAGTTCAAATCCATCATCAGCTTGAGTTCAGCATCATAATACAGCCAGTGGGTAACATGTAAAGCTTGAGAAATTAGTAGCAGCAGCAGTAAGAGGTGAATGGTTGGAGAGTCACAGGAGGATTTGCTTCATATGTTCCTTGCTTTATGATACAAGGATCCACTCAGTTGCTCCAGCAGAAAACCTGGGAGTCTCTAACCATCTTGGACCCCATGCCTATTCAGTCAGAAATGCTGAGGATTTAGCCTGATGTCAGTGTCAAAATTTTAAAACTACTGGCTTAGGCAATTAAAATTCTCTTGCCCCTTTAAGGGATTTTCCCAATCGGCTGATCATCTTGTAGCCACTGATGTGTGTGTGTGTGTGTGTGTGTGTGTGTGTGAGCGAGTGTTTGGTATACCTACACTTCCATGTGTGTACCCATACACCATACACACGTGGATACTGGAGAAGGATGTAGATTGTCCTGCCCTTATGACCCTCCACCTTACTCCCTTGAGACTAGGTTGCTCTGAACCTAGAGCTAGGCAGACAGCCTGAGAAAGCCCCAGTGAACCTCCTGTCTCCAAACCCTACAGCACTGGGGTTACGGGCACATGCAGCCACACCCAGTTTTTTTACCCGTGTGCTGGGGAGTCAGACTCAAGTGCTCATGCTTACATTAAATGAGCTCTTACTCACTGAGCCGTCGCTCCAAACCATTTCCTCTGTTCTTTGCATGTTCTACAGAGCCCTCCATGATCTGAGACCCTCTTCTGTCTCCAGTCTCATGACTCACTATTCTAAATTGCTCTACTGGCAGTCAGAAAGATTATAGGATTCCTATCCTGATTCTTATTTGTGGTAAATTGATACTGTCTAGAGTATCCCTTTACCATCTAGCCACATCCTTCAGGATCTGTTGAAGCATTGTTTGTAGCCACAGAACCAGCTATCTTGTCTTCTAGATGCCCACTTTCATCTCTTATGAGCACTTAACATGTTGGTACAGTTGCTTAAGTCTGTTACTCCTAATAACTTCTGAACTTTGGAGAGTGGAGACTCTGTGTCTATGAAGCAATGCGCTTCAGACATAGACTTTGAATAAATGTAGGGGTTAGGATATCTTTTTAAATTTGTTTGTTTGTTTTGCTATCAAAGAACAAAGATAAAACTTGTTAAATAAATTTCCTAAAACTAACTTTACAAAGGCTGATTCTTACATCTTCATTTGTCCAACTTGGTTCAAGAACTTTGTTTTACACACATAAAGCTATTTGGAAGAGAGCCTTTTAAAAGTCCAGTCTGACTTTTCATATAGCAGTGTTGGACAAAGGAGAGGGCAGTAGTCTAGTTATCCAGGAAAAGTTAATTTCTGAATATCCAGATTATTTTGTTTGTTTGTATTCATTGACACAAAAACCTTTTAAATGGAAATATTTCCTTTGACAAAAATTGAAGTAAAATAAGGCAGTTACCAAACTCTATTAGAAATGTTACTGTAAGGAGCTTAATAGTATTTTTCTAATCCAGTAGTCACCAAAATACATACTCTGCAATTGACAATGGGAAATGACAACTGTTTTAAATGACTGTTCTAATTAAGTCTAAATGGAATGATTTCCCCTTGCAGTTTATGTAATTGTTTTCAAAGCATTTCCTAGCAAATAAAATCATCTTTGTGTTACCAAAAATAGCCAATGGATTAGAAAATTATTTTAAGGAAATGTGCTGCATACTAGGAGGATCAGAAAAAGCAGTGTTCTGGCAGGAGCAGGTACATTATAATTTTATAGTGTATGTCAAAAACCATAAAAATAAATGTCCTTTAAAACTCCACATTCTATGTTGAATCAGGTTTTTAACAAACAGAAACGTAGATTCATTTTATGGACTAAATTACTTTCCATAATATAAATTAAAATACCAAGGCAATAACAATGGGACTGGAAAAATGGTTCTGCAGCTAAGAACACATACTGCTCATGCAGAGAAACCAAGTTTGCTTCCCAGCACATCAATCAGGTGTCTCACAACATCCTCTAACTCTGTTTCTAGGGGATCCAACACCTCTGGCTTCCACAGGCATCTGCACTCACATTCACACACCCACACACATATACGTAATTAAAAATAAATGATTTTTTAAATGCAATAGTGCTGAAACCTCTATTATAACCTCAAAAATGGAAGAAGCTATTCATGATATAGTGCTACACAAAATATTAACATATTCTCTATTTGCTAAGGGTAGAAATTGATATATGCATGGTAGGATGTTGCACGATAAGTAAAAACCCAGAGACAGTTATTTGGGTTCAAGCTTCAAGCCGAAGACCAGAGAAGGAAAGCAGCCAAGCCAGTGGATCTTACCTCTACCCAGCTGAAATGGAAATCCTGTCTCCACGAATCCTCAGAGGTGAAAGGCTCTTAATTCCAGTCTCCTCCTCCTTATATTCCTTTCTCCACCCAGCCGTATCCTTCTGTCTCCACCTCTCTAGTGCCGTGATTAAAGGCGTGTGATCCCAGGAACTAAGATCACCTTTGTATGAGCTGTTTCTTTTAGGACTGGATCAATTTGGTGCAGTAAGTATGGCCTTGAACTAACAGAGGTCTGTCTACCTCTTAATCC